TCAGTTCAGATATGGTCATCATAAATATATTGTAACNGCAACGCAATAACAGTGAGCCGTTGCGTAGACAATGCCGAAACAACGAACGCGTTTCCCTGGAGATGAACAACAGAGGGCCGTTGAGTACCAACGGATGAGACGAAACACTTTACCGCCGTAATCTATAGAGATCGTTCCCGAAGCAACGGATTGCCGAACAAGTGAGATCGAACCTTGGCGAATGGTGTCTCGTATCCGGTCCGAAGAACACCTACATAAGTCGAGAGCGACAGAGNCACATATACACGGTGCCAAATCCCAGAAGACTGCTTTCTTCATATTGTAACGTGTTTAGAGTAGATACTTCCATGGCAACGCAATAACAGTGAGCCGTTGCGTAGACAATGCCGAAACAACGAACGCGTTTCCCTGGAGATGAACAACAGAGGGCCGTTGAGTACCAACGGATGAGACGAAACACTTTACCGCCGTAATCTATAGAGATCGTTCCCGAAGCAACGGATTGCCGAACAAGTGAGACCGAACCTTGGCGAATGGTGTCTCGTATCCGGTCCGCAGAACACCTACATAAGCCGAGAGCGACAGAGCTACAGGACGACAGTTGAGATCTAGCCTTCATACAAGACCGTTGGAACCGAGCCTTCATACAAGACAGTTGGAACCTAGTCGAGGCGTCGCCGAAGCCATGTGATACCACAAGCGATAATACTTGTATGGTTTATAAGTGTGAGTGTCCAATAAAGGTTCGCTGAATCCGAGACCCACGTGAATTTATTTGTCGTGTGACATACCCAACACGTGACAATATATTTGGTCCTTCAGTAAAAATGCAAGATATGTAAACAATTCCTTGTCTGTGGCTTTAAGTCTATCATTTGTCCCAGCATACTGACACTTCCGTTCGACTGATCGTGAGTTACCTTTAACACGAAATATACTGTTGCAAGATGGACCTCTTCTGGTTAATGACTACGAACAACGTAATCTGTCCAAAAACCATTGTTACTCTGCAGACCAACAGAATATGACCAACCATTATTGGCAACAGAATACTCAATGACGAGTCTGACCCGTAAATCCTGATTCAAAAAGCTGATATTTCGCGTTTTGATCCCAGGTGTCCGTATCATTACTTCCCAGGACGGTCCTCTACCGCCCTGCCAAATGCGGTCAAAATAAATGGAACGATGTGGAATGTATAAAGAACGAACAAACACGCACAAACTCGTCTTTATACACAGAGACATAAGGGACCAAACTCTGGACGGCCAGACCGGAAATAGCTACCAAAACAGATTTCTGACAGAAGTCTACCGTCGACTTACTCAAATGCGGTGATCTGTGCATATTTACTGACTACTGTACGGTTTTTTAAACGGGTAATATCACTACTTCAGATATCGCCGGGGTTTTGGTTAGTGGTAACGCTCTTGAACTGCATTCGGAAAAAAGCTCTGCAAGACTGTCAGCCGGAACACAGGCTATTCTTTTTTTTTATTTGAGATAGATTCATACAATCTGTCCAATTAAGGACAATGAGCACTTTTGTTGACTGATGTGGAACTATGTCATTAACAGTGTTAATAAGGCTATCCCAGTAGATGCCTTAAGATTTGTGGCATGTATACACTTAAAACTAGCTAAATCTATCAGATAGGTCTGACGATTTGAATCTTAGGCTATTCTGACCGACGTTTTTATGGTTCTCCACAGCCCCGCCCCCCCCGGTCAAATTCCGCGGTTGGCCCTCGATTATGCCTCGAATGCTTCTCTCCAAATCCTTCCCAATTTATCAGCCACTTAATCACCAAATTTTTCAAGGCTAAGTAGCCTGCACACTGAGAGTGTCAAAAAAATATCCTATGAGAAGTATATTATTTTAATAATGTTCATAATATTCCTATAATTAATTATAATTAATGATTAAAATGGCCACCTTGCAAAGTAACAGAAACTCCGAATATTCTAGCCACATTTCGAGCAGAACATTACACTCAGTTTTAAAACGAAACTCTCTGTACAAATGTGCTACTTTCGAACACTTACAAGCCTCCTAACAGCAGCAGTAACCTGCAAGTCCTCTCAAAATATCATTAATCACAAGCTTAATTATCCTCGTTTCGCAAAGTCGTTGTAGAACGATGCAATAAAAGAAACCGATAAATTAACTCATACATAGAGGTAACAAGAAGTTCCAGTCATTCCACAAACATTTTGATATTCTGCAGCGCAGAAACTTCAAATTATTTCTTCATATATCTTCCTCTCTACATGTTTCTTAATGAATACTTTTGTCTACTGAAGTAAAGTAACCTTTAGGCGCAAAAGCCTGCAGGGTACCGAAATCTTTAACCGCCGACGGAATGGACTGATCATTTCATAACAGAATGCTACACTACCGAAGATGGACTATTCCAGCTTTCAGGCGTCATGTCACAATATGTATTCCGCCACCATTTGTGTATTCCTAAACATCACCTGCGCCGAAACATGTTGTGAACTGATTAAGAAAAACATCTGTTTGTGTGACGGGTAACACCTCCATTTTTATTTGCAGACATTCGAGTTCCACAAAGACGGGGGGATTTCATAATCAGCTGAGCAGAAAGAACTTATATCTCTGAGATAATATCTGTTCTGTATCTTTCGAGGAAGGGCTAAGTTACAGAAAGCCATTAGTTCAAGTTTATAAGCTGGCTGGATGACTCTCGGTCTCGTGTATGAGAATGGTTCAACTCTCGAACGGTAAACCACGACACTTTCCTTGTTTCTGCATTATCATCTTACGAACAGCCTTAGGAGCATGGACACACACCACCCACAATGAAGAACGCTAATCAGCTGAATCCGAAAGCATGGCACACCGTTCTGTGATCACATGAAGATCCCGATTTCTGAACGAATTTAAACAGTACATTCTCACGACGGATGATCCAGCTTTAACCTGTTATTTCTCAGTCTCGGACGCTGCAGTCTCCAAACAATTCGATGCCTGGTTCATACGGCAAGATTCAAGTGGACAACGCCGAGTACCCAACTAAGAACTCGAGGATGCAATAACTTGTATCTTTCATAATAGCATAGTAACACTAAGGATGATATTACAGAGCATGTATAACGCACGAGGGACATAAGAAATGCATACAAAATTGTATGATTAAATCTCGAGGGAAGGAACCAACTGTAAAACGTAAGCGCAGAAGAAAATATAATATTAAAGAAAAAGGGTGTGTGCATTTGAATTTGACTAATCTAACTCATGACAGGGTACAAGGGTGCGATCCTGTGAATATGAAAATGAACTTCTCCGTTTCATAAATGGCGCGGAATGCCTTGACCAGCTGATCGTCTGAAGAAAGCCTCTCCACGGAGTAAGCTGGTCTCTGAACACAGGCTATGTCAGGGAAAAATCAAATGCTTTACAAATGAACCTTTAATAACATTTAAATAATATGTTCCGATGGTTTGATGTAAGACACAACATGGATGGAATTACTGGAAATAAAAAGGTTTCGTTGTATGCATAAAGAGGTTTGTGAACTCTCGACCGCTTAATGTTCAAAACAAAAGAATTTCTCATAAAAAAGCAGCCATAAATACGTAATGTGATAGAACTCTGTGAACGGGAGCAGTGTCAGCACCATTCAATGTACAGTGACTATTTAAACATGAATCGACCCTCACCAACGATCGAAGTACAGACGACTGTTACACATGAATCATGTATCAGCTGCACCAGTCTACCATACAAAAAATGTGAAATAGCTGCAGTTCGTGGCAGTGAACATTTCCAAACCCATTCTGATCATTCTGCAGTCCTACTTTTCATTTTCGTTTACTCTTTCTTTGCTTACTCACTTATGGTTTACTTAACGAAGCTGCTGCGTGTATCGGTGTCGAATGATACGATGACGAATTGGAAAGAATGCAAAGGGATGTGTTCTTATTATTACTGGGGAAAATCATGAAAAAAAAACTCAGCCTCTGGTCCAAGATAAGAACCCTGACCCTCAGAATACGAAACTTAGGGGATACCCACATGACTGCGACGTTTGGTCCTAATTGGTTTCAATGCTCATTTATTCCAGGTACAGAACTATACAGTGAGCAGTCGGGATGGCTCAGTCGGTATTTCGACAGGTTAAGGGCTGTACGGCCGGGGTTCGGAACCCAGTATGGGCGAGGTTTTTCTCTTTTCCACAACGTCCAGACCGGCTCTGGGGTCCGCCCAGCCACCTATCCAATGGCTACCAGGGGCTCTTCCCCCGGGGGTAAAGGGGCTGGGGCGTGAAGCTGACCACTCAGCTCCTCCTAGTGCCGAGATGAAGGAAAGTAGATCTACATATCCACTCCCTCACACGCCTTCATGGTGCAGTGCTTAATTAGTTAAGCGCAGAGACAACTTTACCTCTCTCTGACCTTCAGAAGGAGAATGATCATAGCTGTTGATATGCTGAAAGAGCTAACACAAAGTGGAGAACAACGATGCACATTTATGAATTGTGCTGATGACAAAGAAGAACGTTACGAACAATAGTTAGTATCTGCTAGGACGTAACGCCGTGTAGTCTGGGAGAAGTTTACTCACATTTCGGGGGGGAACGTCTGTTCCCATGTACAAGAACGAAGCAAGCAAGCAGCCATAGATGGAATCTTTCTCCACAGATCCTGTTAAAATTCGATATGGGATATTTTCGTTAATTTGCGTTTCATGAAAGCTTGATTCATTTCAAAGAATTCCGTTGGTAATTTCCTGTTCTACATTACGGATTGCAGCCCTTTCCAATCTTGTTTATCTCACCCAACAGGCCTATAGAGGCCTAAAATATGGTTTTTATGCGGGCATCAACCAATACAGCCCCTCTCTTCACGATCCATATGCAGCCTGTTCCACATTAAGGGGGCGGGGTGAACAAAAATATGCCGCACACTTTCCCAGTACCCTGCCAACGGGTTTGGGTTTTAGGCTATTGTACCGGCGGGGTTTTCAGGACACTTACTTGTTGCCGGAGTGCTTGTTGCGACGGCTGTGGACCCAGCACTGTCGTCACTCAAAACAACGAAGTGAGACGACGCCTTACACTTACCTGAAACAACAGAAATAAACTTAATTAATATTTCGTGTCAGAGGTTACATAACCAGACAATAAACCAATAAGATATTCACACAGAATACGCACCACATGTACACATGTACAAAGTTCCAAAGTTGCTCGACATGTGTTGGACACAACACATGAATATGGCACGATAGACAAAACATTGGAAGTTTTATATATCGCCAAGAAAGGCCGAACCTTAGATACTTACGAAAAGTTTCATATATACGAAATCAGTAAACAAAACCTACAACTGAATGATAATTTCACTGAAATGTTTAATCCTATATATGATGTTATAATTGATACACACAAAACGTAATATACAGTTATACCCTCTCCCCTCCCCCCTTCCCATCACTTCCGCATACACCTTAATTCTATCTCCCCCACCTCCCTCACTTACATTGACCTTAATCCTACATCACCAAATCAGTCGTTGTTTGCTTTCCATGCAATACGGACAATTCTTCTTAATGACGAGGCAGCATTACACAATTCATTAATTGCTACACCATGGGCCTCTCTCAAAATCTTCTATATAAAGTAATATCGAATTTCCCTATTGTCTATGGAAACGCACACAAAGTATATCCAACGACTGAATCCATGTTTTTTAAAACATCATTACTATTTTTTCTTGTTATAATACTTCCAATTTTTAACTTTTATACAATCTGAACTTTTGTATTTTTTACATAAGCATTTTTAAATTTGTACGATTAATAGTGTTATATCCATTTTATGATTGCAGTTAAATGGCAGATTTTTGTTGATATGTATTTGCCTGATAATGGCCGATAGTTGCCGAAACATGTAGCAAAGCAACAGCTGAACGCTGACTTTGATGTTTTACTATTTGCTGTGTTGTGACGGTTCATTAAAGAGTTGTATGTATGTGTGTATGTATGTATGTATGTATATATATACCTTACCCACATCCTCACACAGTACTTCACATTTAAATTAATATTCTTGCCTGCACATTCTCCATACAAAACTATAATTTTGGCTGTCGTTTTGTATGGGTGTGAAACCGGTCTCTGATATTAAGGGAGGAACATAAACTGAGGGTTTCTCAGAACAAGCTGCTGAGGAGAATAATTGGACGGAAGAGTGATGAAGTGACAGGCTGGAGAAGATTAATTAGAATGATCAAGTCAACGATGGGAGATGGGCAGTGCATGTAGCACACATGAATGCGAATAGGAATGCATATAAGAATGTGACAAAAACAGCATTGGTTATCTTGTGTGACAGTCCAAACCTGTTACAGTTCGCCGTGGACGCTACGGTCCTCTTTGGGCCGAGCCATAGCTCAAGCAGTTAGTCGCGGGCTTCCCACCGCGGCGGCCGGGGTTCGATCCCGGGTCTGGTCAAGTGGCGCTGGGGCAGGTTTTCTCCGAGAACTTCGGTTTCCCCTGCCAATCTTCATTCCACCAATTTCTCCACAATCACCCTCACTTATCATCTGGGGCTGACACAATGGGCAGAAGTGGCCACAGTACAAGGGACTTAGTCTCACCCCACTAACAATAAAAGAAAAATGGTCCTCTTCATTCATTTCGGAAGGGTGACTGGTTTATTGGCGAGACCGATTTATTAGCATGTTATGACTTGTTTTTCGTATCTGAGCAGAAAACAACTCCCTTGTTTTTGTTTACATACAGTGTTGTTAGTCGGAAGGGGACAAGGTTACCATGGAGACAAGTCTCTAGTTTTCCGCAGATGTGAATCTTGTTTTCTTGACATGTGTAGCTGTCATAAAGTGTCTTCGGAAGGGTGTAGGTGGACGCGAAACTAATGAATATAAGCGCTCTCACGTGTGGGGTTCCGAGTTCTGTATCTTGGGAACTGTTTTAATTCTCAAGGGTCTTTATGTGATTGGCTTGCACTGATTGCATGATGAATTTGGCTAGTTAAAATCGGCCAGTAGGAAATTAATTCTTGTCTGGGAGAGAGGCCGTCGATTCAAGCCCTTTTTGGGGGGATGAAGCGACGCTCCTGCAGGATATGAGTCTTCGAAAACTTGACGTTTTGAGCTGATCGGAGGCAGACGTCATTGGACTGCAATCCTCATGTTTCTCTAAATTCATCAGCACTTCACTTTAAAATGTGATAATAGTAAAGGGCCATATTACCGGTCACGGTAGCCGAGCGGTGTAAGGTATGTACTCTCTCCGCCCGCTTGGAAACCGGGATTGTAAGTTCGAATCCCACTCAGGGCATGGATGTTTAGTTTGTGTGTGTGCGTTTTTCTTTGTTTGTGTACAGGTAGAGGCCTTGCTACGAGTTGATCACCCACCCAAAGAGTCCTACCGAATGTGTAAGATCTAGAAAAACCGAAGTGAACGGAGTTCATGGAGGTAGGCCTAGGCCAACTGGGGCTGTAGTGCCAAAAAAAAAAAAAAAGGCCAAATTCCTCCGTGCTTGCAAAGGAAATTACAATATTTCGCTTCTGAATAAATAAACAGTTTGTGGACAGTGGAAGTTGTGTTGTTGATTTCGAGCAGTGGGCTGGCTTCAAGTGTGCTGCTTCCGGTTGCCTCAGGTATTACATATTACGATCCTGATAGGAGTCCAATGGTCTACCGAAGCCGGCATATAAGTATAAAGAAAGAAAGGGGGGACAGTAACACTTATGAGCCCGTTTTTGTTTCTGTTTTTTTTTCTTTCAAAATAGGAATAGTCGGTTAAAGATCCTTAATTATTTCTCAACTTCACAAAATATATCCCTCATATCAGCTCTAGAATGTAAACTCTGTCTTAAGGTTTCTTTGCGTTTTCGTTGTATTCGGTTTCTGAAAGATCAAAATTACAGTGTAAATCGCGATCGGCCAGTTTATTGCTTTAAACTTAAAACGTTCATGCATCTGAATCACAAGTCCATTAATATTCATTCCTGGTCCTCTTGGACGTTCCTGCTGAAGAGCTGCAGTCGCCGCACACCAACACACGGGGAAGGTTCGGCTCTGCCTTTCATGGGCTACAAGTCATGCCTAAATTAAATGGTCACACCTGCATGAGATAGCCCTTTAATTTACCAACAGAGGAATGACACTCTGGAAGTTTCTAAGGCACTCATCATCACACTGTGACGAGCTGCAGGTGATGCAAAACTCTCTTTTACGCTCAGCAAGAAGCAGAGGACGGAACACCAGACGAAAAGGTCGCAGCAGACAGAAATAGGAAAAAAAAACACTGATATGTAAGCGAGTTAAACTTATCAGCGCTAGAGTAGTTTGGGTCTGTAAATCTGCAAGAAGAGAGATCACTTGCGAGACCTAGACGCAGAAACCTAAGCCATTTGAGTCACTATATTTTAGGAACAATTTTAACACTATTTTTCCAGTTACGTCTAAGTATCCCAAGTTGTCTCTTGCCTTCAGGTTTTCGACTAAAATTTTATATGCATCTCTCATCTGTCCCCATTCTTGCTACTTGCTCCCTCGATCCGCCTTGATTTGATTATCCTACCAATGTTTACCGAAGCGTACAAGTCATGGATCTCCTCATTATGCAAACAACATAAAATAGCTCTTGTTTTTCTTTTCAATGGCTCTTCCAGCTCATTCAAGGCCCAGGCCTCTCTCATAAGGTTCCGTATTCATTGTTACATAGATAGTAGGACTCCTTGGACGAGTGATCAGCCTGTCGCAAGGCCGCTACCTAAACACAGGACAACACAAACACAGAACACACACACACCAAACATCCATGAACTGAGTAGGATTCGAACTCACGATCCCAGTGTCCGAGCGAGAGAAGACAATTCATGCCTTAGACCACGGGACCATTATGACCAGAAAAATAACTCTTGTGCTGTTTAATAAATACATTACAAACCCGACATGTTAGAGCATTTGTTTTATGTGTTTGATCGAAACTTAAAATTTTCATGGTTAAGGGCGTGTGACGAGTTTCTGAATATTCACCTCGACCATACATTAATGGATAAGGCACTGCAGTAGCAGGAAATGTACAAGGCGCAGGTCCTACAACAAGCCTGATATCCCATTATATTGTTCCCAAAATCCAGTCATCTTACGGAACTGCATCAAACAATCTGCCGCCCTTTTTCATAAACTTCGATCACTCGTATATTTCTATTATGCAAATGTCACAATGGAGAAACACGCAGTAGCATAAAACATAATGCGAAAGTTCAGCGTGAAGACAATGGCGACTGTGGTACTTCACTATGGCTGATGAACACCTTAGCGCTCCTTAATGGATTACAACGCTAGAAAGTTATAACAGCAAGCTAAAACAATGAAATGCACTACCTACACTCGTGTTTAATTTGTTGGAATGTCCGATTTCTATTATCGATAAAACAGGGCCAGCTACTACCATAAACATCATGCGAAATGTATTCCAAGTAGACTAATTCACTGTTTCACGGGGTGACAGAAGCCATACTTAACAGACGGTGGCCACAGAAAACTCTGGGTGATGGATCGCTCAGGTGAGCAGAGCACTCTACACAGGAAAGCTGCTTCCAACACGTTCCCTTTAGTTTAATTTAAAAAAATAAGGATTCTACAGAAAGACGGGGAGCCGGGGTAGCGTAGTCGGTACAGCGACTGGCTACGGGCTGGACGACCGAGGGTCGGAGTTCAAGTCCCGGTGGGAGCAAGAATTTTCTCTTCTCCAAGTAGTCCTGACCGCCTCTGGGGTCCACCCAACCTCCTATACAGTGGGTACCGGAGGCTCTTTCCCTGAGGTAACGCGGCCGTGGCGTGAAGCCGAGAAACTGACCACTCACCTCCAACTAATGCCGAGGTCAAGAAAATGTGGGTCTATACAACCACTCCCCATACACCTCCATGGCGTAGTGCTTAATTAGCTAAGCACAACGACAAATTCACCTCTCTTACAGAAAGATTATATCTGTCTGCATGACAGTCTGGCATCAAGAATTTCGCAAGCAAGTAACCGATTAAACAACAAACAAACTCCGTGGTTTTAGTCCGCAAGCGAACTAT